TTCCATTGTGTATATATATATATATATATATATATATATATATATATATATATACCACAGCCTTCTTTATCATCTGTTGATGCACGCTTAGTTTGCTTCCATATCTTGACGATTGTAAATAATGCTGCTATGAACATTGGGGTGCATGTATCTTTCAAATTAGTGTTTTTGGTTTTTTTTCAGATATGTACCCAGGAGTGGGATTGCTGGGTCATATAGTAGTTCTATTTTTAGTTTTTTGAGAAATCTCCATACTGTTCTCCACAGTGACTATACCCGTTTACATTCCCACCAACAGTGTTTTTCTTTCATCGTTTTTTGTTCATTGATGTAGTCCCTACACCCAGAATAGTGCTGAGCATGGAGTAGACTCTTAAATACTTGTTGAATGGATGAGTGAATAAGGATAGAATAAAATCTCCACTTACGCATCCCAACAATATCACCTTCCAACAGCTCTAAGTGTCAGAAGACCTGGCCTCTTGTCCCAGTTTTTCCTCCTCAAGGTAAAAACCTCACTCTGTTGTTTAATTTTTCTGACTGTACAGTGGGGAGCAGAGTAGCCCCTTCCCCGCTTACCTGATGGGGCATCTTATGGAGCTCACAGAGAGACTTCGGAGGAGCAGACCTAATCTAGAGCAGGGCTTCTCAGACCTGAATGCGTGCCTGAATCTAGGAGATCTTGTTAAGATGCAGACTCTGATTCGGGTCCGGGTGGCCCCGAGACTCTGTGTTGCTAACAACCTCTCAGGTGATACTGATTTCCTGGTCCTTGGGTCACACGTTGAGTATCAGGTGTCAGCTCTAAAGCTAAAAGGATGATTGGTACCTGGAGTCATGGCAGTGCTAGCCCCTCTGACATGGCAAGGAGCAGAAACGGTCTTCGGGTTCATAGGCCCTTCAGCGATGTCCCAGGAACTGTAGATATTCTGTGCTGCTGATTTAACAAGGCTTTTCTCATTTTATTAGCTCTTCCATGACTGGATGTTAGCCAGAACTCCCTAGCCAAACACCAGCTAGAGTTTGGGGTCTCGTGATCCTGTGTATGCATTTGGGCTCGTAACCTTGGGGCCTGTTCTGTATTTGTCGGTCTCCTTCATTTGCTCCTTTATTTGTTTTGGATGTGACTAATCCCACAGAGCTCTTGGGCCTGTAGCCCAAGAAAGGGTAATTTGTAAACTGATGTGTTTTCCAGGAGACATTTAATCTGAGAATTTTTGCTCGGCCTCAGAGGGCTTATTGTGTAAGAGGCACACTGTATCCGGCTAGGGAAGAGGCTCTGATGAAGAAATAACATCCAAAAAGACAGCAGAAGGAGGCCTCTCCTCCCAGCTCTGTTCCTGAATTCACTGCTTGGTATTCCCATGACAACAGATGCTGAAAACCTCAGCATAAAAAATATGTCCAAACCACTTAGTTCATGCGGTTGATTTTGTGGGCAGCAAAATGGTTTAGGTGTTCCCTTGATGCTCTTTGTAAAGGGATTTCCCATGCAATCCAAGGGTGAGTGACAGTTTTAAGGGTTTTAATAATTAGTCCTGACAATTCCTCTAAAAGGAGAGGTTGTCTGGCTGCTGAGTGTTGGGACAGGGAGAAAACGGGGGTAGGGTCAGGGTACAGTACTAATCCCTGAGCTACCTTTTGTATAGGGTTTTGGTGCATTTGAAAGCCCTTTAAAATACAGGAACTGGGAATTCCCTGGTGGTCCAGGGGTTAGGACTCTGTGCTCTCACTACCGAGGGCCCGGGTGCAATCCCTGGTCGGGGAACTAAGATCCCACAAGCCACACGGTGTGGCCGAAAAAAAGAAAAATATTCTCTTGGGACGTCCCCAGTGGTCCAGTGGTTAAGACCCCGCCCTTCCAATGCAGGGGGCGCAGGTTCCATCCCTGGTTGGGGAGCTCAGATCCCACATGCCATGCAGTGTGGCCAAAAAAACACAAGAAACAAAATGCAGGAATACATGTGACCTCATTGAACTTGCCCAGGTTGACACCGTCAGTAATGTTGGAACCCAGTTTATGACCTTTGACCCCATGATTTTTGGTGCTGTCTCATAGACCTAACAAGTCAGGGTGCTGGAGTGACCAGCCATACCGGTTTACCCAGAACCTACCCAGCTTTAGCACGAAAAGTCTCATATTTTGGGAATCCCTTCCCGGTTTTCCAACTGAAATGGTCTTCCTAGATGGGGCTGAGACTTGAATTCAGATTTATTCTACTTATTGTAAAGCCCTATTTCTGCTGTACCTATTTCTGCTTCTCAAACTTCAATGCAGAACCACTTGCTTCAAATGTAGATTCGGATTCAGTAGGCCTTGGGTGGGGCCTGAGGTTCTGCAGTTTTGACGAGCTCTGGGGAATGCTGGTGCCACTGGTCCGGGACCACGCTTTGAGTAGCGAAGCTCTAAGCTACTGCTTCCAGTAGGGAGATGGGAGCCCTAAAGCTCAGGCATCCTTCCAGAGGGCTCCCAAGTGAGCTCCCACCATTGGAGACCTTCCTTGGCCATCAGCCCAGAGAGCCCACCTGAACCACGGGTGATGGCCCTACCAGTTCATCAGCGGGGGCTCTAGGTGACTTCTCCCCTCTCCACTGACCCCTCTGACCCCAGACGAGCCCTCTCCGTTCCCTCGGAGCCTCACGCAGCTGCACTATTCCCTTGACATTCAGTAAGGGACCTCAGTGCCAAGTTTATGTCTCTTGAGACTCAGGTACAATCTTGGGAAAGCCAGCTAAAGGCTCCCCTGCATGGACATCTTCAGACCAGTAGGTTGGTCCCCTTAAGAGCGGAGTGAACAGACAGGCAAAACTCAGCTAGATTGTCATAGGGACCTTGTATTTTGGGAACTTGGCCTAATTACTTGTGGTTAGGGATGCTTCTGCCTGTCATTACATAGATGTCTGGTTATAATGTTAAATTCTGGGATCCCCTGTCATTCCGAGTACCACTGTTTTGAGCTCATAGAAAGAGACCGTCTGCTTTAAATTTCAAAAGATTGAAGGTAATGTTGGTACTGACATACTTGAGATACTTACGGGGCACTGGATCTGTCCAACCCAGCGTCTGTCTAACATTGTCCTTCTGATTAGGCCCTGTCTGAATATTCATCAACAAATGCCGCAAGATATCGTATCTCAAAAGCTATGAAGTGTCTCATATAAAGCGTGGCCTGGGAGGCAGCAAGACTTGGGCTTGAAAACGAAATTGAGCTATTTGTAATGAGGTGGATGGACCTAGAGTCTGTCATACAGAGTGAAGTGAGTCAGAAAGAGAGAGACAAATACCGTCTGCTAACACATATATATAGAATTTAAGAAAAAAAAAATGTTATGAAGAACCTAGGGGTAAAACAGGAATAAAGACACAGACCTACTGGAGAACAGACTTGAGGATATGGGGAGGGGGAAGGGTGAGGTGTGATAGGGCGAGAGAGAGACATGGACATATATATACTAACAAACGTAAGGTAGATAGCCAGTGGGAAGCAGCCGCATGGCACAGGGATACCGGCTCGGTGCTTTGTGACCGCCTGGAGGGGTGGGATAGGGAGGGTGGGAGGGAGGGAGA